GAAAAACGGCTTTTGAGTTTGGGATATGTGTATTTGCATTACGTACAATGATAATAACTCAGATGAAATCTGGCAGTAATTTGAGTATGTTGAGGCTGGGGTGAAATATTTGAAAACTATCGTAACTAACTTCTTACAGAAGGAAAAACATATTTTATAGTTGCAATAACGTTGGTAGTACACATGATGTGATCGTAAAATGATGTAAATAAGATAGTAAAGATGCATTCGTATTTGAGCGTAAACATGTAAATAAAATAATGTAGAGACAATGAAGAATTTAAAAAAGACTCAGTTTAGTGGCTACTTTTTTCTCTAAAGTACAGTTTTAATGATATAAATGACTTCTTTTAATGTTTCCCTACAATTTGCATTCATGATGTAAATAAGTTTGTCGCAAATTTCTTTGAATAGAATAGATGTTTCTTTCTTATTTTTATGTATAATTTGCATTCTGTGAACAAATGCGGTTCATCTTCTAATTGGATGCAGTAATTCAATTTCTTATACGTCAAATATATGACAAGTATGGCATTGTCATGTTCAATTGTGTTCAAAAGACGATGCAAGAGTAATAAGGGTAATCGTAAAAGCTGAAGCGATCTTTCGCTTTTCAATGTCTGACAGTTCTGCTGTCCAGGGCTGGCCAAAGCTTTATTAGTGACCGTAGTTGCAGTGCTTGTTTGTTAACACAGTTGAAGTGTGTGCGTTGGAGTCACGTGATAAATAATTGATTTGATGGAATACATGCGAGAGCGTGACTATACATCTTGACTGTGCCATACATTGTAAAATACAATCAAAGGTACAATATTTGACTATAGATGTCACTGAAGGAAACGTCAAAGATTTGAAGTGACAGTTCATTGACTAGTAAATCTGTATGGTCGGATGTTTTTGTATCCCGCCAATTTAAGTAATATTAGTCAATCACATTTTAATGACTCACTCTGTTCCTATGACATCATTATTAACATTATGACAACAAGATGCTAACCATGTAATTTCAAATATTCTAGGAGACTACAAGCACGATGATGCTGTTGTTTCGGTAGACGCGCCCAGCTAGAGTTCACACAGCTCCAATAACCATTGTACACACTTACCCATGTTAAGTGAAGGCAGACAGTGTGGAACTTACACGCCTCGACTTGAAAATTTACTTACTTGACAAACTTACATCGAGAGGCACGGAAGTAGAAGGGCAAAATTAAGATCGTGCATGGCCGGGGTGCATGGACGAGTTTAAAGTACGTCAATCACGAACGTATTTACGACTACGAAGAACAATGGAGTACACCAAGGTCAACTGATCGACACATAGCTGTTGAAATTTAGTGATAGTATAGATAATGTCTAAGGTGTCGTCAGTGGCGGTATCCCTTTGAGCTGGACTTCATTATATTATATTGCGGTGGTATATTGATCTGATAATAAACCACACGTGAACCCAATAAAGTGAAATCATGCACACGTATAATTTTTACTTGAGAATCATGCGAGTGACATCTTGGGGTTGTGAGTTGGTTTGGAATAACATGACAAGCACTCCAGTACGCCACATCATCTCTTTCTCTGCGGAATTCTTGCCTTTACTTTCAAGTTTCTTTAATTAACCAATACAACTGAAGTGTAAGTGCACATTCATTACATTAATTACATCTTTATTAGTCATTATTCTATCAAATCTATTTTATATATCCATAGTCTGAATGACCTCTGAACTAGACTTTTGCCCTCGTAGTTCTCAATCGAATACTTCATCTGCCACCACCCTAATCCGATTCGAATCAACACTCACTGCACATTCTTCTTAACCTGAGCCCCAGACATTTTGCCCAGGGTCCTCTTAACTGCGACAATTAAAATCACTTCCCGTTACGCGGGAGGTCAAAATTCGACGAACTTCCAGGGTATTCCCCACATTCAAATATTCGATTCGTCAATCACACTGCGCAGTTAGTAACCCACTCGGTCTGCATAATTAAAATGAGATAAACAATAGAAACCCGATTAACTCCGTGTTGACCTCTAGTTGCCTGGTTCTCAAGTTTGCAAACAATTGTAAGAGTTTTGAAAATGCAAAAAGAAAAGCATTTCATTATGTAAGAACACACGCTAAAACGCCAAGGCTCACGGGTAGACGCTTGTTTGTAAACAATGACACGCTCCCCGCTTTAAACCGTCGACTGTTTTTCCTGAGAATTATTTCAGACGCTACAATTGTATTTGTATACGTTTTTAGCAAAGGCACGTACTCTACCGTCTCAATCCTGGTCCTCAAAATTCATTCTCCAAGGTCGTTCTAAGGACGTCAATAAACGTCATTCGTAGCTCATATAAATAGCCACAGTGAGATGTATATTCCATGAACTCGTTGGGGATTCCCCTCGTCTATTAAATGTACAACCAATCACACTGATAGCACTGTGCACGTAAACAAAAATAAACCAATAGAATTTGGCCACGATAGTCCTCCTGCAAATTGTACAAAACATAATAAGATTGAGTACTATTAGAAACATGAGTCAGAAAAATCCCCGTTCTTATTGCGGTGTTGCAGAAATTGGGTATCAGTCAGTCGCGAGCTACAGCTACATACGTTCCTGTGATCTCCAGGCTCGTGTATCCGACGACGTTAAACTCAGAGCTAATACCATGGATGGAATCGCGGTGACGCCCAGTACTGTAGTGAGTATAGATTAAACAAACCTACAAATACATGAATTGCACATAGGATAATTAATTGTTTCATGGGCGAATTCGGTAATAAGTGGCACAGGGAGATGGAGAAGAGAGCCTCTGCCACCAACAAATTCGAATTTATTTTACGTGACTGATTCACCTTAGGAAATACTGGAGTCTATGCTTGGTTCGGGGAATTCGTGGTTACATCTTTCCAAATTAAATGCGTAAATAATCATGTCTGTGAATTAGGCTACTAATCAACGTCACAGCAATGTACCGAATTCCATTCAGCAATGTTGCTAACATCGTAGACACATAAAAACATTTGAGATCACGGGTAGTTAAACAATTACGACATCATTCAGAATACGAGTTACTATTATTGCACATTACCTTTGTAATGCAGCTGTCCTGTGCGTGCCCAGTATAATCAATGTGTTGCACCATAAGTGACAATTTATATTTTCATGTTATGTTTTATCAAGAACTATGCAGATAAATTTGTTGAGTTTGTCGAACGTTTGTTTACAAGTGTGTTCTACCTGTTTGCTGTATACGTGTTCATATGTAGAGTAAGGGGGGACTATGTTCCATTCATCTATGCAGTAGGCACCAGGTAAGATGACCATTTCCATACGATTATTTGATATAGACAAATATAATAGTAGTGTTAATTTGCTTATAATCCTGTTCGAATGTGCAATCGATACATTAACGTTCGCATACAACATTGTATTGTAATGTGCTAGAAATCAAATTTGAATTAATTTCATTATCCAAGAAAGAATTATTTTCATTTCTTATTTTTAGTGGCCAGCATTCTGTTGTAAGTACTGGTGATCTGATTTTCATGACACCTATTGGTCAGCACTCGCACTTGGACATCGGTGACATTGTTACAGTGAAAGATACCAGAAAATATTATGACTATTACATCCAAAAAGTAACAGACATATATCAGCCAAGGTAACAATCATTTTGAAAAGACGTTCGTGATTTGTGAATTACCCACATAATCCCTTCATTATATGATATTAATAATACTGAGTACAGATAAACAAAGTGTTCAGCTGCCTGTGTTTAGAAATGCAATTGCACGCATTGAATGTGTGGAATGTTATGGCTTTCTAATAATTGTTTTACATTCACAGTGTCACGGACATTGACCCTATGGTGGAGATTCAGTACCAACGAGAAGACAGCATACAACTAGAACGTCGCTGGTTCAAATTGAGTGATATCGTCGGAAGACATTACTTCAGCGTGTCTTTTCCAACTCAAATGCTGGTACGTACATTCTTTCCGTATTTCTCTCTTTATTTCTTTACTTTTAATTTTTCATATTTATTTATTTATTTATTTATTTATTTATT